TACTCCCAGTCACAAGCAAGTGGACTTCACAGAAAATGGAATCGGAGAAGGCGGTGGAAACTGTGATAGTCGGCAACTATGTGGAAATGGAAAGCGAAGGAAAGCCCAGGAGCATCAAATCCAGGCTCTCCAAGCTCTTGTGGCATGGAGGTTCTGTTTATGATGCATGGTTCAGCTGTGCTTCCAACCAGGTTCGCTTCTTTTCTCTTGCTTTCACTTACATGGTGTGATATTTATATGCACACATATTCATAATCCTAATAATGGAGTGTGGTTGGGGCAACGAATTTGGCAGGTGGCTCAAGTGCTGCTCACACTGCCTTACTCATTTTCGCAGCTGGGAATGCTGTCCGGAGTGCTTTTTCAACTCTTGTACGGCTTGCTGGGCAGCTGGACTGCCTACCTCATTAGCGTTCTCTACATCGAATACAGAACCAGAAAAGAGCGAGAGAAAGTCGATTTCAGAAACCATGTCATCCAGGTTTAGTTTAAATTATGTCCCATCCGCCCATCCATCTAGAGCCAGCGCTTGCTGCCTACTTGCCTTTCTTTTCCCTCTCAATTGTGACATTAGGCGTTTTTCTATGGCAGTGGTTCGAAGTTCTCGATGGACTGCTGGGAAAGCACTGGAGAAACGTGGGTCTGGCATTTAACTGTACATTTCTGCTGTTTGGATCTGTCATCCAACTGATCGCCTGCGCAAGGTCCCTCTCCCTCCGTCGATCTTTAACCCTTGCTTCTAACTACTAAACTCCTTTTGATCGTATATTTTCATTTGGTAATGTCTTGATAAAAGTGAAACAATCAGTTATGTTTCTGGTGGTAGTAGTGTTATAGAGTTAAGATCATGATATGAACCAGAAACGAAGTAGAAGAAGGCATATGAGTGATGACTGACGAGGCATTCGGTTTGGGTGTGGTGTTGTAAAATGTGCAGCAACATATATTACATAAACGACAACTTGGACAAAAGGACGTGGACTTATATATTCGGAGCATGCTGTGCCACCAGCGTGTTCATTCCTTCGTTCCACAATTACAGAATTTGGTCCTTCTTGGGTCTGCTCATGACCACTTACACTGCCTGGTACCTCGCCGTTGCGTCTCTTCTGCACGGCCAGGTTGGGATTATATATTCATTAATTACGTTGATAACCATGGACTATCACCGGTCATAAGTACTGATAATATATAATGAATTGATGATTTGGGTACGTAGGTGGAAGGAGTAAGGCATTCGGGTCCAACCAAGCTGGTGCTCTACTTCACGGGGGCCACCAACATTCTCTACACATTCGGGGGACATGCTGTTACAGTGTAAGACCTTAATTCCTGTCCTTGACCTCGTTTGCTTTCTCCTATATATTAATTCTGCCTTTGCATTTGCGGCCTAAAAATGCCAATGGCCTTGTCCGGCGTGGGATGCCCAAAAGCAAAAGGAACCGCCATTTTCCCTGTCATTGCTTCTGCTTAACTCCTTTTTTCCTTTCTCCCAATCATTCTGTTTTCTCGTGTCATCCCAAAAGTTTTCTCCTTTTTCTCTTTCCCTTTTGCCGCCGGCCACCTTGGTCCGGTGCCAGCCTCGTGTCACCTCTTATAAAAGAATTATAACTCTGTCTGAAATTCATTCTTCTATTTATGCTCTATATTTTTCAAAAATAAACCTTGTATTTCAGAGGATTTGAATTATATAATCTGCAGTGAAGGATGATTGGTTGAGAGGGTGAGGACTCGTGAAACCATAATTTTTTTTTTGTTGGGACGAAGTAGCAATTGATGGGAAAAATAATTGGACAGGGAGATAATGCACGCCATGTGGAAGCCGGAGAAGTTCAAGAGCATATACTTATTGGCGACGGCGTATGTGCTGACGCTAACGCTTCCATCGGCGGCGGCGGTGTACTGGGCGTTCGGCGACCTGCTCTTAGATCATTCAAACGCCTTCTCTCTGCTTCCCCGAACGCCGTTCCGAGACGCCGCCGTGATCCTGATGCTAATCCACCAGTTCATAACCTTCGGCTTCGCCTGCACGCCTCTCTACTTGGTGTGGGAGAAAGCCATCGGCATGCACTCCTCCACCAGCCTCTGTAAGCGGGCCGCCGTCAGATTGCCCGTCGTTATCCCCATCTGGTTCCTGGCCATCATTTTCCCTTTCTTCGGCCCCATCAATTCCACCGTAGGATCCCTCCTCGTCAGCTTCACCGTCTACATCATCCCCGCTCTGGCCCACATCTTCACCTTCCTCTCACCTTCTTCCAGACAGGTACACATCTGAGTTCATTGATTCCGTTTCAATATATATGTGTGTGTGGAGCTTATTAATTACTGTCTCATCTCATGATTATAAAAACTAATTGATTAATTTAAGGAGATTAAAAAAATAAATTAAACTAATTAAATTTATTGGTTAGAACTATTATTATTAAATGGACTATTTTGAAAAAGAATGTATAATATGATAGACAAAGTATATTAGGGTCTTATAATTAAGATCAAAATAAAAATCAAACAAGATTTATATTAAAGACAGGAGGTAATAGCTAATTGTGATGGCGTTAATTTGCAGAATGCGGTGGAGCAGCCTCCGAAGTACGTAGGAAGGTGGGTGGGAGCGTTTACGATCAACGTGATAGTGGTGGTGTGGGTGACGGTGGTGGGGTTTGGATTCGGTGGGTGGGCGAGCATGGTTAATTTCATACACCAGATTGACACCTTCGGCCTCTTCACCAAGTGCTACCAGTGCCCCATCCCTCCGGCGGTGCCCATATCGCCGCCACAAATTTTGAATGCCACCGCTCCCTCGCCGGCTCTTCACCCTTCTCCTCATCAACTTCCTCCCCGTTGATGCATACATGCCTATCACGGATGTCCATTCCGCTGGCTGCTAAAGCTCAACAAAATATATATGTATTTTTGTTCTTTTGGCGCAGTCCCTTATATAGCCCCCTTTTTTGTTAGTTGAGTTGAGGACTTCATTTGTTATCATTGATTTTATAACCAAATTATATAACTATGAGAACTGTGGAATTCAAATCTTCGGGCCAAAAAAAGGTCACAAAATCTAAGCTTCGACAATGAATTAAATAGATTTCGTTGGCCAAAAAAGAAACTAAATAGATTTAAAAATCTTGAATGCACAGGAAATCGGCAATCCAATAGAAATATCTCCCTTCCCGTAGTTCTAGATTTTGATTCTGGCCATGGATTCACCGTTGGATACCTCATTTTGGTGGTGGGGGCTCCGTTTCCAATCTCTTCCACGAATAAACTGAATCACATGACTTTCTTTTTGTTTTCTTATCTTACGTAAACATTTCAACAGCATTAAAATATTTTTCTAAGAAATTCTAAGTATAAGTTCTTAAAATCTAATTTAACTCCAAAAGAGGCTTTGAGTTGTCTCACCACCTACGACTCCACAGACAATGAAGGGTCTATATGAGAGAAGCTCCCGCTTCCGTTGTCAAGCCGATGGACATGGATCCCGCCAACAGCCCAATGTTCAGCCTTTATTCTCATGTTCCTTTCTCCTATTTTCCCCTTCTTTTGCCTTTATTCTCATGTTCTTTCTCCTATTTTCCCCTTCTTTTATTTTTTTTTTAAAAAAAGCCCCCCTCTATTTTTCCAAATAAAAATCGATAGGTTACTTTCTTTTTTCTTTAATTATATTACTACATTCGATTTATCTTATTGTTAATATCAATATCAATCCAAAACACAAAATTCAGAAGAAAATTATTATATTCCTAAATTCCGAATAATACAACTTCTTTCGTAACTTATTTTCACTCTTCGTTTTCAGAGGAGTTCTTTTTTCATCATGTTTTGAAAAGTTCACATTTAAATATTGAAATAAAATTCAATTTTTCCAAATTATAATATTCTTACATGACAGAAGAGACATCTAGTGATTACATTAAAGAACATCCGATGATAAATAATGGCTTAAATTACTAATTAGTCATCAGTAAATCGATATATAAAACATAATAGCATGGCGTCGTTTATTTGCTATTTCTTATTATTCATTCATTATTTTTAAATGGCATATTTTAAACAGAACATATATTTTCATAAAATCATCTAATAGCTTCAAATATAAGAGCATTATTGTGAAAAGAACAACAAATCCTCAGCTGCTGTTGAAAAAGACCTAGATACATTTTCCTATGTCAAACACAATTTCAAAGACGAGTTCATCAGTCACCACTTGTGTAGAATAGAACTTGTTGCATTATATTAATGGATATGGTGATTAAAATTGTTACTGCCTCAGCTTTTGCAAGTAAACAGTGAAAGTTGAAACGCCTGTAGCAACCAAGGAGAATGCGACCCTTCACATGTCTCCATGTCCTCGAGAACCACTCCATCTGTTCCTATTTTTGGCGAAGAACACCACAGTCACAGAGCATTAGAGTGGAGTCCTCACTGGCTGATGCTACGAGGGTAAACCTGGGCAAATAGCCATGTCTCTCTTATCTTCCCCACAAAACTGCTTAGACCCGACCACATCTAGTCATCTAAGGCAGCCACTATCATTCAGGATTTCTATAAAACCAAGGCAGCCACTATCATTCAGGATTTCTATCAAACCAAACAAAGCTTACATCATCGCTCTTCTACCAATATTCATAAACCGCATCTTCCCTTTCTTCGGCTATTTTCTATTTTTTTTGGCATGAACTTAACATTGCCTTTGCTTTCCCTGCAATCAAGCAAGAAGCCAGGCCCTCCAAAACCACAGCTTCCTGTATTGAGACTACCCCCCCCCCCCCCCAGCACAAGAAAATGAGAGACAGCAATGTTATTTTGACCCCCTAGACAACGGAACTGATACAAGTCAGCTTGAGAGATTACAATCTCTTGTCTAGGATCTTTGTGGGGTCTCTTTATTGACTCACAATTACCATACACCTCCTAACAGAGACCATATCAACATCCGTAGCAATCACCAAAAAAAAAAAAAAAAACATGCGCACTTTCTTTAGCTGGCAATCCACTACCATCGGAACATCCAAGAGATCATGTTTATAATAAGATAACAAGAATAAGGCAGGATAGATTTTGTTCATCATGTGTATTAACACTTAGAAACAGAGAGTATACATCTACTCACATCTGATCTTTACCATAATCCCTCCATTTCACTATGCCAGAAACACAAAATCCCAAGTCTAACTGCTTACCCTATGAACTTCAAAATAAAGCCCCAACTAAATAGATTCAGCCCCAAAAACCCTACCCTTCTCAAAACATAAGTTCCAAATTATAGCAGAAAACGAACCGCATAACACAAAGCAAATCCACCCATCACGGCACCACAAAAGGATCGGATAGAGACATTAGAAAGCATAAAACAGGCTCAGCGAGCGCCGGTTGGGCAGTCCCTGGCAAAATGCCCAGACTCCCCACAGTTGTAGCAGCCTCCGCCGCCTCCGCCGCCGTACCTACCTCCTCCTCCGCCGCCGCCGCCTCCCTGGTAGCAATCCCTGGCCAGGTGACCAACCTCACCGCAGTTATAACAACCCCCTCCGCCGCCACCGCCGCCGAATCCACCGCCATAACCACCACCACCCCCGCCTCTTCCACCGCGACTGCCACCATAACCTCCACCAGCCCCGTAGCCACCGCCATAAGAACCGCCTCGGCCGCCTCCGAAGGATCTGTTCCCCCCAGCACCGCCTCCACCGCGTCGGCTCCCCTGAACATTAGACTCGGAGGGGCCGGTGACGTCGACGGCCTTGGTACGGCCATCGGAGTCGGACTCGATCAGAAACTCGACAGACTCTCCGTCGCCAAGACTGCGAAACCCATCGGACCGGATCGCAGATTGGTGGACAAAGAGGTCCTCGCCGCCATCATCCGGGGTGATGAAGCCGAAACCCTTCTGGTCACTGAACCACTTCACCTTCCCAGTCACCCTCTCACCCATCTCTGCTCGGATCTCGCTCTTTCTCTGGCTTTAGCGCTAGGGCCAGAAGGGGCAGGGAGGCTGTACTTATATGCAACAACCGGAAATAGGGTTGGACACGTCAGCGAAGGACCGCGATCATTAAATATCAAATATTAAATATTAAATCGCGGATAAATATCTCTGTGCCTTTTGTGGGGCCATCATTTTGGGACCAGCGGCGATCCATGTGACAGCGACAATTTCAGATTTGCTGGAAGGATGATCCAACGGCCAGAGATCTGAAATGATTGAATATTGAGCGTTGGATTGGGAATCGTCCTGCGAGAAGCTGATGGGTAGTGAAACCGTCAACCCTGGTTTCCCGACCCTTTACAATTTGATTGGGAGTTTAATTAAAATTAGTCAGTAATTGCTCCCTAAAAATTTAATCAGGATGAAATTTATATGAACCTCAGTAATGAGGGTATAATTGGCCAAAAAAATAAAAGTAATGAGGGTATAAAATAGAAGAGAGCGCGGGAGTGTCGCCTGGAATTGTGATCTCCAAAGACGCCATTGCTGAAGCATTTTCAAAGCAGAGAAGAGGCACTGATTCAGTGATTGGGGTGTCATAACTTTGATTTGTGCCCTTTCGTTGACGCTATTTAAAATTGAAACGTATGCCATTTCCAGTGCTTGTGTAGGGGTTGAGTCATGGAGATCTTGGCCCTTCACCGACACGACCAATGTGTTTATGTTTACCTGAGGGTTTCAAAAGCGAGAAGGCTAACCAGCAAGCGGCTGTGATGGGACAGGGCGAAGCCTGTTTGAGGATTTGAAGCTTCTCTGGAGAGCAAATGGATCATGGATTCAGGTTGTGATGTGTGATGATAACCTGACATGGAGTCACAGGCAGGGACGAATGGTGAGGAGATGTTGTGTAGCTGTATAATTGATGACGAGCATCTTCATGAACTCCTTCCCTCATTTCACCTTGCAAGATTTCTTTCTGTAGCCACTCCTTGAAGAGGCCATCTCTGTCTGTAGCAGAGCAAGAGGGTTTGATGAAGGAGACAGAAGAGGAGATATGGAGTTGTGGACTTTTGGGCAGCTACGCTTATATGAGTCCGAGGTTTCAATGAATTGTGAGTTTATGTGGAGCCCAGCCTTTAATTAACGTCACCTTTTCTGTAATAAAATCATTTCTAATCTTTTTTAATGTCTCCTTAAAGAAACTTCCTATGTATAATTATATTTTTTGTTGAATAATTAAATAACAAATATCTAGAATGATTAGAAATGAAGAGATTGATGGCAAAACTCCTTACTGAGAGTTCACATCTCCAAGCTACCCTGACATTTAATTGCCATTCTCCCCAAATCTCAGCCCCGTCAACAACACACATATATGGATCTTATATCTGAGTACTATTGTCTTGCATTATGTGAGTAAAAATAGACGTGCATGCGTCCATATATAGATCATATTGCAGCTTAACAACACTAGTCCGGATCCTGGCTTCTGCAGCTGGGAACTGATGATGATGGATTCAGGACTCATTAAAATTCCTCTCTTGAACAATGATCATCCTAATTATTATCCAATGTCATAAAGGATATGGGAACTTGAGATTCCTAGGAGGTGTAACGCCTTCCTTTGGCTCACCTTTCATAATTAACTCCTCACCAATAAATCTTGGGAAGAGCATGGACTTCATGCTTTGGTTCAACAACCCGCCATTTCCGTCGCATTTAAAAAGGTTCTATGTCGATGAGTTTTGGGACAGGATGGTCAGGAATGATATCTCGTTATCCATTTGATGGCGTGACTTATTTGCTATTATTTGGCGACTTTGTGGGAAGGAAGAAATGAAAGGATCTTGGAAGAGAAACATACTAGTGATCAAGTGTTGTTGATTAGAGCTAAAGTTAGTCTTAGTTGTACAGAGGAGGCAGGCATCAAACATGCAGGGGCCAATGTGCCTGGAGGAAGGATGGGTTGCTATGAATATAGATGGCACCTTCCCTTATGCCGTGAAGCAAACGGGCTGTGGAGGCATTATTAGATATCATTTCGGCACATTTCTTGATGCTTTCATGCTTAGACTGCATGAATTTATTGAGAAATTCTTACATGAGAGCTATGGGGTTGCTTGATGGGATTGAAAAGAGCTTGGGAATGCGGTTCTCTTCAGCGACTCCAGAGAAGCTATTTGGCTCACTGAGGAAAATAATCATCATGATCACGACGAGGATGACCTTATTTTCCGGGTTCAAAGCATACTGATGACAGGCTAGCGGGTGAGGATCAATAGGACAAACCATGGTTATAATGCAGAAGCGATTCAAATAATCTAAAGTTTGATGCTTTTTCTTGAACTGAATTTCTGTCTGAGGTACGTGAATATTAATGCCATTGATTACGTAGAGGAAACATAGAAAGATGGTATACACGAGAATTGAACTATGATTGCACAGAAAGTTTCAAGCTATCCCTTGAATTCTTGCGTGAGTAAGACCAACACATGCATCAACAAAATCTTGATCTATGAAATCCGTGGAAAATATCTGAAGCCTATCATCACACCCCTGGGAGAAGCACTGAGCAATGAAGAGCCTAGCATACCGATGGATTCTCTTTGTAACAGGTTTCACATGCAGAACTGGGTTATCTGGCACCGGCGTGACCGTATTCTCCACCCTATAAAAATACTTCCTGGACGCCACCGGTGCTTGTTCCTTCAAATGCTTCATATTGCTCTCGAATTTCGTTGACGGTAAGTCTGTGTTGATCCAGTCATCCTTCAAATACCCTGCGCTCCACAAGGCACCCCCTCTTTCTGGGGAACTCAATTTTCTCGGCCTCCAAACACAAATAATCCTCCTAGGTAAAACCTCCGCGATAGTCTTCTTGAATACATTATCATCCTGGTGAATCAGAAGCTCCCCGAGTTGATCCACCAAATACTTATCAAACCCAGGCGGGTCCCTGTGCCCAATCTCCGTTCTGAGCTCGAGAATTATGATCTCTGACTTCGTTTCTGAGAGAAATCTTTTCACATCATCCATCACAACTTGAATTCCGTACGTAATCAGAATTCCGTGACATACATTGCCATTCTCCTCAACACGAATATCAAGCACTCGCGTGCCCATCACGAGCTGTTCATGGACAGATAACGTTTGGCATTGTGCGAAAGGGCGAGAGATGAAGGGGACGCCGATTTTGTTGGTTGCAGAATCATGGGTTCCTGGCCAAACAATTTTATAAATATGAAGATTTTTTGGGTTGAGAGTTGACATCCAATTTTTTCTATCTCGGGGGTGGTAACGAGAACCAGGAAAGTCTTGCCCATAAAGTTTAAGATCAGAAAGACTTCTGTTTTGGATTTCGAGTGTGTTTCGTCTTTCGATCTGTGTAGCAACCGCGGAGCCCATCTTCTATTTTGGACGACAATGAATCGGACAAGGGAGAGGAAGAATTTTTGCTTTCTCCTCCTCCTGATTGATTCTACGCTTGCTGCTGGGATTACACATCATATATCGGACAATGATGAAAACTCGAATACTTCTTTTCCTAAAGAAACTTTTGTTGGATATCAATGCTTGTGCCCAAATCGGTTCTTTTCTTTTCTCCATTGCTTTGTCATCAATTCAATGTTCCTTTCGTGTGTATTAGCTACAATACAATGATCCCCGTTTTGCCTTAGTTTTTTTTTTTTTTTTTGGGTCAGAACAATTATTCCTCGTTGTATGCGAAGGAAAAGGGACCCACGAATAGGAAATGATGCTAAATTTATATTCACTCGGTCATAAAATTCATTTAATTTAGAGTCTTCGTTATTTGGTTTTTTTCACGACAGATATAAATTAACTATTAGGTTCAAATCACATGCAGTTCGACTGTTAGACAAAATAATTTCTAGACCCAAGTGGCCAACAGACTGACTCATTCACTTGATTTACGGGCTAATATATTTATAAGAAAATTAATCTTTTAGTTCTTTAATTTTTAACTCAATTTTAACTCAATCCCTCAATTATAACTTGGTACAACTTGGTTTCTGAACTTTTAACTTATTTGTAACTCAATTCTCAGTTTTTTTCAGTTTTTATACTATGATTCTAAGTCATATGTGATAAAAATGACTAATAACACCCTTATAATTATTTTTGCCTCAGCTCCACCTGTTCTGTTTTTCCAAAAAATAAAACAAACAAAAGAACAAGCTGCGTAAACCAGATGATCATCCTTCCCACCAGTATTCGCAGGCTTGCCGGTGTCTTTATGGTCTCTGAGATCACCACAGTTGGGATCCAAACCAATTCCTAGCTTCAAATCTAACACTCACTTCCATTCTCGCTTTGAAGTTCACTGCCCTCATCCCCCGTTCCTCCCTCCTGAAAATGCTGCAGATTTGGAGGATAGTTTATTTCTTTGGAGTAGGTAAGAAAAACGGTTCTTTTTACGAAGCAACCATTTTCTAATCCCAAAAAGCATGGCAATCCAATTAAAAAAGTGACCTCATTCTTCCATACCGACTAACCCTAATTATAAGGTTCCATTTGAAGAATTATTAAAATCTCTACCTTCTTCTCTTCTCCTTTTAATAAGTACTTTCCCTTTTTATTTTATTTTATTAAAACGCCTCTCCTCTTTTGGAACCAAACACTACAATAACGCGGTACAAAAAGTGGATTGCAATATTTCGTGAATTGACCATCCATCATGATACCATCCACGGTTGAGATATCTCTGGTCCTTCTCCGCATTGGAAATTAAGAACTTGTTTAGAACAATAATTTAAGTTTTAAAAATTATTTTTTAATTGTGATTTATTAAAAAAAAAGTAAATATATAAGTATTTTGCCTCTAATTATGATCCCAAAAAGCAGTAAGTGGGAGGAAGTCAAGTAATATGCTTTTTTGCTTTTCGTCCACGTCAGCAAAAACGGGCGTATCTTCCCATCATATTCATACATACATGCCACCATTTACGCCGTCGGATGCAGACTTCATCCCCCATTCTCATCCCTAGATTACTTTGACTCCTTCGCTCTCCCCCAACTCCAACTCTGATCGAGACACACACCTTCACGTCAGATTTCCTCTTATACTAATCTCTTTCAGATATCTGACTGTGATGGAATGGTCATGCTCGTTTGCTTTCGCAAGCAACCAATGACACTCTTGAACAAACCAAGGAAGTGATCTGGTATATGTATATTCATGCACCAATCAGTAAATTAGGGAACTTTTATATCCTTATTCCTTCCCTGGTGATCCCCTTGTACTCTCGAGGTGCATGCACGGGGTTAAAATGGTAAGTGTGCCCGCAATTTTAAGGCAAGTCCATCCATCAAGATTGAGACAAAACCCTTGTGGTGTCAAGTCTCAAATGTAAATGAATGGGGCAGCTTTTTAATTATCAGAAAAGGTCATGGGGGAAAGGCTGTAGGCATCAAGTGTGGGAGGAGAATCTTTTGAAGCAGTCCAGACGCGGATATGGTGCGCATTTGTTGTGTACCTGCATGAACAATTGATGAATGCTCTTGCTGTTGCTATATGCAACCCAAAGTTTTTGGCTGTACTGTTTCCAACAAGCATATACGACAAGGACTGTGTACGTACGTCGCGATTTGACAGGCCTTGTTAATGGTTTGCTTTGGCATGAAAAAGTTGCTGTTTAGGTCACTTGTGCCCGTCACAGAGAGGATTAATTGCAGCGCCTTTGACAGTGAATATGCCCAACAAGTGGATATATTGTCCTGAAACACAAAAATTTGCCAACATTTTGGCGCACCAAAATGGTTTTTGTGACCTTAATACACAATCAACGCCCTGTAAATCAAAATAAGTGCATCCTCCTTCAAACACAATCGTGTTATCCCTATCAAAATTCATTCAGGAACCTGGGACAGCTCTGAAAGAGGCATAGAGCCCCATTTCACTCAAAGATTTCAGTGCTCCTCTTCTCGAATTTTGGTTCAGTAAGATTATGGTCATCTAAATTTGAAGCGCGCACCAGAGATGTATTTCCCAATGGCATACGATGTTGATAAACTCCCTAGAGATCCAGATACAAACCCAACGTTAGGCCCCATCTGGGTCCTCCATAGAAAGGGAATCGGAATCGGAATCGGAAAAATTTGTACAGCATCCATTAGATTCCTATCTCTCCCCATGAATTTATCCCTTATCACTCGTTAGTTTCGTAGACGTTTATAATATTTGTACAGAGCTCTGGCAAAATATACACACACATATTACGTTTTAATTATAAAAACTAGTTAATTAATTTAATAAAATTAAAAAAAAAATTAAGTTGGTTATTTGTAATAAATAAGCATTGTTTTTTCTAAAATATTTTTACTAATCAAGTTTATTGACTAGAATTATTATTGTTAAAAGGACTATCTTAAAAAAAAATAAATATTAGAGACAAAATGGATTCAGATATTATATCAAAATAAAAATCAAACTATATTTCACCTTATTCATTTCCCCCCTTCTAGATTCCTTCAGTCCACGTCATCATATTCTGTGTGCCTCACGATACTCGCATCTGCACCATCAACCACCGTCGGATCTTTCAAATCCCCCAGCTCATCTTCGCCCGTCGATCAATTTACTGGAAAGTGCAAACACGGGGTTAGCAGATAAGAGCTGAGAAGGGAGATCCTCTTGACTCTTTCATCTAACCCACACTCACACCTTCCTATTCTCTCTTTCATTTCTTTCTCGGCCGGCCATAACCAGGTTAGCTCCTCTCATGTTGCCGACTGTAATTGAATGCTTCTTTTTGTTTTCCGCTCTTTCTTGATTGTGCAAAACCCTAATAGAAACTAATCCCACTCGCCCCTACACTGAGGATCTGCTATTCATGGGCCGCTCCATTAATTAATTACCTCTAACCGTACAGATCCATTTCTTTCTGGTTTTCTAGCTTATCTCGTCATCATTTTAACGTTTTGATATAGGTTGTCTATTTCAATTCGTTCTTGACGCTTGTGATTGTAAATCGTCTCAATACCAGTCATGCTTCCTTTCCGTCCCCCACTTCTGTTGCAGACCCTTCGATAACTAGGTTTCTGATTCTTTTTCTCTATCCCTTTGCGGTGAATCTAGGGTTGGTAGCATCATTGTGTATTGCTCATGGATTATGGTGCTGAGTCTTCTAATGGATATCACGACATAGAGAGGAATAGCGTGGAGGATGAGGTCTCTACCGAGACCAGTGCAGGGCCTGACGAATTGAAGGATTTGAAAGCAGAAGAGATGCCAGAGAAGGCAACAGAGGATCGAGAGCATTCCCATGATCGGGGAGAAAACGGCCATCCCGAGGATAATATTGGAGATGACGATCCTTCTGACACATTTAGTGCTTCGGATTCTACTCTGCTGCATGAAAATCTTGACGCTCCTCAAGAGGCGGAGAACTTTGAGGAGGCGGTTTCCATTGCTTCTGAGTCTGGCGAACCCATGGAGGGGGAGGCAGAAGTAATTGTTAATCAGGAGGGACTTGATAGCATTCATTTGGATGGAATTGATTCTGGAGGGACCGTAGATGGAGTATTGGGTAATGAATCATACGGTGCAGGGAAGGATGAGTTGGAGGGCAGTGATGAGAATGCTGGAAAGGCATCATCTGAGTTAAACACAGATGTAGTTGTTAGGGAGAATGCTGGCATCACAAATATTAGCTCTGGTTTAGCGAGCGAGAAGACTGAAAATGAGGAGTATTTGACTCCAAGTGCAAACGGAGGTCTGGTCTTGGAAAATGAATGTGGAGACAGGGTGGATACTGTTGTTTCTGAATCTTATACAGAATCTGAAGCCAGTGAGAAGATTCTGGATGAAGGTGCTGGTTCTAAGGTTGAAGATTTGGAGGGAAGTATCAAGGATATTGTATCTTGGGATGGCAGTACTGAGGAGCAGTCTAATGCTCCAGGCAAACCTCATCATGAAATTGAAGATAATAGTGGTGAAGAAGTACACGGCAGCTCAGCTCACGTGGCTGCAGAACATCAGGTTGAAACTACTGGGGATGTAAATTATGAAGTCCACGGCACTGATATAAGCCACGAGAATAACTATACTGAAGGGCTGTGTATATCTGATGATAAGAGTACTGAATGTGAAGATCATTGCAATGTGAATGCAAAGGATACTACGGCTGGATCAGACTTAGAGCATAAGGAAGCAGTAACTGAACTAGGAGACGCTTCCCCCATTCCACTGGAATCTGTGGGGGAGAGGGCAATGGACCTGGATGCTGGAAGCTCATCTTTGCAAAATTCTTCTACTGATAAGGAAAGTATTCAAGCTACAGTGGCTGAATTTATTGAAGGAACGGACAAAAGTTATCCATCTCAAAACGATGACAAAGAATTTGTTGGGGGCTGTGATGGCTCCCCTGTTGTTGAGGAGCCTGAAAAATTACAGGAGAAGAATGTCAAAGAGAAGCATGCCCCTCACATCACTCAAGAACAGAATGTTCAGCATGCTGGGGAGCCTGTTTCTTCAACTGGAAAACCAGCTGTTACTAATCCATCTCCTGTTCGTCCAGCTGGCCTTGGGCGGGCCGCACCATTATTGGAACCTGCACCTAGGGTGGTGCCACAGCCTCGAGCAAATGGTACTGTATCTGGTACGCAGTCTCAACAAATTGAGGACTCCTCAAATGTTGAGGCTGAGGAGAATGATGAAACTCGAGAGAAACTTCAGATGATCAGGGTGAAGTTTTTACGCCTGGCTCACAGGCTTGGGCAGACTCCACATAATGTTGTTGTAGCACAGGTTTTGTATAGACTAGGGTTGGCAGAGCAGCTCAGAGGGAGAAACGGGGGCCGTGTTGGGGCTTTTAGTTTTGATCGGGCTAGTGCTATGGCTGAGCAGCTTGAAGCAGCAGGTCAAGAGCCTCTTGATTTCTCTTGCACAATAATGGTTCTTGGAAAAACTGGAGTTGGTAAAAGTGCTACCATCAATTCTATTTTTGATGAGGTTAAGTTCAATACTGATGCTTTTCATATGGGAACAAAGAAAGTTCAGGACATCGTGGGAACTGTGCAGGGCATAAAGGTAAGAGTCATTGATACACCAGGGCTTCTACCGCCCTTGTCCGATCAGCGCCATAATGAGAGGATCCTTCACTCTGTCAAACGGTTTATCAAGAAAACACCACCAGATATTGTACTGTATCTTGATAGATTAGACATGCAGAGCAGGGATTTTAGTGATATGCCACTGTTACGCACAATTACTGAGATTTTTGGGCCATCAATATGGTTCAATGCTATTGTGGTTTTGACTCATGCGGCATCTGCTCCACCTGATGGTCCTAATGGTACAGCCTCTAGCTATGATATGTTTGTCACCCAGCGTTCTCATGTTGTGCAGCAAGCTATTCGCCAAGCTGCTGGAGATATGCGACTCATGAATCCTGTATCATTGGTAGAGAACCACTCTGCATGCAGAACAAATAGGGCTGGGCAGAGAGTGTTGCCAAATGGCCAGGTTTGGAAACCTCACTTATTACTTCTGTCTTTTGCATCAAAAATTCTTGCGGAAGCAAATGCTCTTCTTAAGTTGCAAGATAGTCCACCTGGAAAGCCTTACCCAGCTCGGGCTAGGGCTCCACCACTACCTTTTCTATTATCATCTCTTCTGCAGTCAAGACCACAGTTGAAGACACCAGAGGAGCAGTTTGGTGATGAGGACAGCATTGATGATGAACTGGATGAGTCATCTGACTCTGATGATGAAACAGAGCTTAATGACTTGCCACCTTTTAAACCTTTAACAAAGGCCCAACTGGAACAACTGTCTAAAGCTCAGAAGAAGGCATATTTTGATGAATTAGAATACAGAGAAAAGCTCTTTATGAAGAAGCAATTGAAGGAAGAAAAAAAGCAGCGAAAGTTGATGAAGAAAATAGCAGAATCTGCAAAAGATTTGCCGACTGACTTCAGTGAAAATGCAGAAGAAGAAAGTAGCAGTGCAGCTTCTGTACCTGTTCCTATGCCAGATCTAGCGTTGCCTGCCTCTTTTGATTCTGATAATCCTACTCATCGCTATCGATATCTTGATTCATCCAACCAGTGGCTTGTGAGACCTGTGCTTGAAACTCACGGATGGGATCATGATGTGGGTTATGAAGGAATAAATGCAGAAAGATTGTTTGTTCTTAGAGACAAGATACCCTTGTCTTTCTCTGGTCAGATTTCAAAGGATAAAAAGGATGCTAATGTCCAGATGGAAATAGCCAGTTCCATAAAGCATGGGGAAGGGAAAGCAACTTCATTAGGTTTTGACATGCAGACTGTTGGGAAGGACTTAGCGTATACCTTACGCAGTGAGACAAGATTTTGTAATTTTAGGAGAAATAAGGCAACTGCTGGACTCTCCTTTACTGTCCTGGGCGATTCATTTTCAGGTGGAGTGAAAGTTGAAGATAAATTGGTTGCTAATAAAAGGTTCAAGGTGGTTTTAACTGGGGGTGCAATGACCAGTCGTGGTGACGTTGCTTATGGTGGCAGTTTGGAGGCTCAATTGAGAGATAAAGATTATCCTCTTGGACGCTCGCTGTCAACTCTTGGTCTATCTATTATGGATTGGCATGGGGACCTTGCGGTTGGCTGTAATTTACAATCACAGATCCCTGTTGGAAGGCATACAAATGTCATTGCCCGTGCCAATTTGAACAACAGAGGAGCGGGACAAATCAGTATTAGATTAAATAGCTCAGAACAACTTCAAATCGTTTTGATTGGGCTTGTCCCTCTACTTAAGAAGCTTGCTGGTTATGCTCAACAGCTGCAGTTCGGACAATGACGACAATGATAAAGTTAGTTTTTCTATGCTGCGACACTTGCGGGGTAATACTCTTAGGAATAACTTTCAAGATAGCATGTCTTGCTGGTCACCATGAAATGAGTGATACTAAGTTGCTTCATGTGTTTTATACCTACAAGTATCTTCTTTGATCTTAGTCTTTGTAGCTTCCCTTCTTAGATGTTCACCTCCGGTATTTTGTTGCATCATGCTATTGGATTTCAAGTAATGCATCTTTTGAGTAATGTCTATTTTAATTACCTATGGTTGCGTGGATTTATTTGTTTTATCTTATGGTGTTATCACTTGGCTTTCATACCTAGATCGATGATTTTTCATTCCCCCGGAATCATTCTCTCTCGTTTGTTGTTATGGTTCGGGCATTAATATATATCCCCTGTATCTTAGAAGGCAGTGCAAATCCCAGCTTTTCTTGTCACCATATGTTCGACGTAGTATAGCCACTCCTAGGCGTGGCGAACGCCCGAGGAACGCTGTTGCTAAGTGGAGGACAGAGAGACTGGGAAGGAGAATAGACGTTGAATGCCAACCACTAGATCTTCTGTATTTTTGATGTTATCACACTGCATTGCTCTATTTAGCTGTTGCCATACGCCGGGACTAGGGTGCATAACTGACGCTTGGCGGCAAGTGGAAAATGGGCAGTTAAAATGTTAACCAGTCCATTCTAAACGCAATTTTGTTGGTCGTCTGTTGCGTGAGGTTCATGATAAATTATGTTCTTCTTGTCTTTAGTATAATATCTATTTAACTAATTTGATTAGATTTAAAAAGTTAGGTAAGTTAGTTAATTATAAGAAATGTGACATGTTTTTTTTAAAATATTATGATTATCTTCCTGAATATCTTATTACTTTCGGTCTTTAATATAAGATCTTGTTTAACTTTTATTTTAGTCTTAAATATAAGATCTAAATTTATTTTGTCTTTCATATTTATACATTTTTTTGAAGAGTCTTTCTAACAATAATTCTAGCAAATACACTTAATTAGTAAGGATATTTTAGAAAAGACAATACCTATTTATTATAAATAACTAATTTAATTTTTTTAATATATTTAAATTAGTCAACTAACTCTTATAATTAGGATCAGAGATAGTGTTTTCTTTTTTTAGTTCATTATGGTTGAGGGTGATGTATAGGGGTAATTTAGAAAAAAATTAATAAATATGAAAAATAAGTTTTATATTTAGGATTAACATTAACTCAATAATTAGGTCTTATATTAAGAATATGAAAAGTATTTGTTCAATCTTATTTATAAGGCATAGGCATTTCGAGGAGGGGGGCTTTTATGTGGAGCATCACATTGATATGGGGCAGCGTAGGGGATTTTTTTTTTCAATTTTAAAACAGTTACATATTTTTAAAATTTTTGCTCCATTTCAATAAGCAGCATTGAAAATAATAGCTGGTACAGATTTTTATAGGTTTTATCAAGAAATAAAAAATTAGACTAGACATTCAACTAGTTGAGGTAATGGTTAAAAGGTTAATAAGTCAAATTGGGATCAACTTGGAGTTAAACTGGTCATATTAAAATAATATAATTTAATTAAAAATAACAAAGTATAACAACATTAAGCATTTTGATCTTTACAATTCTTGAATAACTAAAAGTAATAATCAGTGATACCATAATCATCATTAAAATTCGTTTAAATCTATAATGATTGAGATATTAGGATTTAATTGAGAAAAAAATAAGACAAATAGCAATATAATCATTTAAACTGATTCATTATTGGTTTTTATCAGTTTATCCTCAGTTTGATCAGGTTGATACTAGTTTAATACCTAGACAAAATTAGACCATTAGCTGATTCATTGGTTTTTTAGTTGAACGGACTAATTCAATCTTTTTTTTTTCATTGGGTTTTATATTATATATATAAAAGAATTCTTTATTATTGTAAAAAGATCTTGGGGAAGGCAGTGCCGAAGTTTATGTGCTCGTGTGAATAATTGATCTTATGGTGTTGCACCATGCAACCCAAAATAATGGATGAGGGTTGAGAATGCTGAGAGTACAGGGCGAGGGCAGCGTGCTTTATCTTGGGTCACAACTTTGGGTCAATTGCACTACGAGAAGGTTCATTTGCCGTTTGCAATATGTTTTGCCTAAAAGACTCCTGCTTTCGTGTCTGAGTTAAATAAACGACATAAACGGCCCTTTTTCTTTTTGGGGTGAACGGTGCGAATAGTCAGTTTTAGCGGAACGGCGGAACTTGGCATGGTGAAAGCCATTAGCTAAGATAAAAGCACTATGCACTTAATAAACTGTCCCCTGGTGCAATACTTGATCACAGGTCGTTTCGCTTCTGTGATGCAAAGTAAATAACATGTAATGATTTTTTTTGGGGGGAATATATCAAATTAATTATTGATTAAAACCGAATAGTAATATATAATAATCACTATTGCATCAATATATAATCGCTGTCCATACATAATCAGTATCATGAATGTCAAATATGTTAGCTATTACACGCACTCACGCAGTATGAGAACAGAAGAATTTTTCAGCGGAATCGGCACACAGCACATTTCAAAGGAAAACAGGAGCAAAATTATTGAATCACGGTGACGTTATAGGCAACAATGGCATCACCGGTGGCGGGGTTGAGCCAGTGAGTGTGGGCAAGTGCATAGCCCCGTGCCAGCCGGAACTTCCCGGTGCCACCCACGACCGGCATCTCTCGGACCGGGTTCATAGCCGAGTTCTTGCCCAGAATGCTGATGGAGCTGCCATCCGTAAAGGAGAAGCTCATGGACATCAGCAAACCCAACTCCTGCTGACATGCCGACGTATAAAGACCCTGCGCCCGCCCCACGAGCTTCGAATTCGGGTCGGGCGTCTCCGTCAGGGGGTCGTCAGCCATCATCACGACTCCGAAAAGGGTGGTGGATTTGTATGTATCCACGGGTTCAACCACCCGAACAGCAGTCGGGTTCTTTCCACTGAGTATGTCGTGGAAGTAGAAATGGAGGTTAGTGACGGTCTCCTTCTTCTCCGCTTCAGCAGCAGCTCTTAATGGGCTCATTGCCGCCGCCATTAACAACACAAGCATCATCATCTCAAATGCCTGCTTTGACATCTTTTTTCTGTTCTGAGTCACAGAGAGAACGCAACAGAAGAGTGCTTATACCAAATGGTTGTTTGTGGCTCTGTAAGAACATAATGCCTTGTACTTGTCTCTGTTTGCGTATATATAGAATATGAAGGCTACGATGGCTTTGTTCCGAGGATGCTGAGGAGAGTCAAAAGGGCGTTCAACAACAATTGACCAAATGGTGATTTTTGGGTGGCAGGGCGGTCTGAAGGTGCGGGTGGTCGTTTAGCTGTATTAGCAACCATGGTCAGCCGATGTTTGGGATGAAATTTAAATTAGGTTTAATAGAAAAGGCCAAAAATGGCAGCAAAATCACTGTAAATCTGGCGGCATTAATGGACACAATTGCCGGATGATTTAAATAATATGTAAATATCTATATCTTGTACCAAAAAAATCTCTCGTGTCACTTTCTTTGAAATCGTGTTCCATTTTCAAAGCATGCTCATTTTTTCCCTTGCATCCCTTTCTATCAAGGGATATATGACCTTTTTAATTTTTTTTTTTAATATACATAATCATACAGGCACCCCTCAAGTTATGATGTATACTGTGTCCCTTGTAAATGAGTGACTAATATTGTGAGTTTGGCTGTTTGATTTGTTAAGGACTGGGCTTAATAATCTCCGTAATCAATTACTCTTTGAATTTAATTAGTTCTGTAGTGAAACCCACACCGACTAAATTAGTGTACCGAAATACTTTGTTTCTTTCTTCTATTTAAACTAAATAGTTCCTTGCGTAAATCACATTTGATGGTGCTATTCCCTGTTCAGTTGACTTTTCAATTCTTTTTTGAATATTTTCCAACCACATATATTTAACATGGGGAGTGGGGACCCATCCCGATTAAATTAGTGCACATCTTTTCAAACCAAGACAGCTATGAAAGTATTGCTTATATTCAGTTATTCACATTCAACACCCAAGATTGAGCTACATAAATTTTTAAATCACCATTGTTGACATTTATACTATATAATTTATTATTTTCAATTTTAATATTTTTTCACGGAGTGAAAGTTAATTTTGAACTGTTTGCAGGGGGCACATACTTATTTATGGATCAATAAGGTACGGCAGATATTTGAGTCCTATTATTGAGAATAAAACTGGATCAAACTTAAAGAACTATTATATTATTGGGAAAATGACATTGAGGTCCCATGCAACACAAAATACTACAAAAAGGTCCCAGGAAATTTGGTAATGATTCTGAAGTCCCAAAGGGACTTCAGTGCAATTTGATGAATTGCAAAATGACGCCTCTGCCCCTGGTGAAATGCCCTGTTTTTCAGTCTGAAAATGAACACTCTGTACGCAGGAAGCAAGAGAGAAAAAACCCAAACTTCATTCTGCTTCTTCCCCCATTCCCATATGAAAATCTCATCCACTCTATTAATGTCAATCATTGGCAAAAATTGCTTGTATTTTTGGTTTGGTGTGTGTTTGGTCATTCAAATTGGGGTTTTATTATAGGTGGGTAAGGTGATTATGGGTGTTCTGTTTCTAGGTATATTGTGGGTGGGTTGAAGGTGAGCTTGCTCTGTTTGGGCATAGTTTCAGGGGGAACTGATGAGAAAGATGAAAGTTGGTGTGATTAGAAACCCTTATTGCGAAATAGGAAAATATGTTGTCAATAGGGCCGCGACAGTTGTCAATAGAACTCCTTGACTTGTCAATAGTAACAGCATTGTACAGATTTACATTAACTGATTTTTTAAATTTTTTACACAAAGGCCATGACCTTCTGTACCCTTGACTCATTGGTAGAGGTTACAAAAAGAGGAAGAAGAGGCAACAAAGAAGGGTGAGTAGTTACATGAGGCAAAAAAAAAAAAAAAAAGCCACTTTGATCCTAGACAAATGATGGCAAAAGAATTTTTTCATAAATAGAAGTGACATAAATTTTTTTGGTAGATGTCACAACACACACAAATAATTAGCTTAATACTGGATACATGCAACTATTTGTTTTTTTTAATGGGGTTATAAAATCAGTGTAATTACATGTATATGAAGTTGTAAATGAAAGTTAACTGTGTATTACATTCTGATACATAGTTTGTTGTCATTATCCGCACCCTTCATTGTCAATACATGCTTCGTCACTTGTCACTCACTGCACCATCAGTTGTCAATTAATGTACTGATATAAATTTTAAAAAAATATGATTTTTATTACATAATGTTATACAACGTCATACAATATCACTAATTCCTCAAAACTAATATATTTTTTATAATATGATATAGAATAGCTATTAAAAGTCAATCATCATTGATATGAAATCATAAAATCACTTGTCATAAACAACATATTCACTTGTTAATGGTTTCAGTGTAACTTGGCATGTTAGATTCTGCTGTCATTTCAATTGTCATTATTCGCACCCTACATTGTTATTAGACCTATTATAACTTGTCAATTAATTTGCTGATATAAGTTGTCAACAATATGAATTCAAGTTACATAACCTGTTTTAGTATCATATGATATTTTTAATTACTCTGTCATATTATATTTTGATTATATTGTCATATATAATTATTATTAATGAAGTGTTAATGATAGCACTATGACTTGTCAATGGAAACACTATGATTTATCAATGGTGGCACTATGACTTATGAATGGTAGCACACTGACTTGTCAATGGTAGCACTGTGACTTGTTGTTCACCAAATAACTTCTCGAAAGGTTTGGGCACTGCGGCGGATATGATTAGGTGCCCCGGTGCCTTACACAGAATGGCAACTCCTTGGGACAGATGGGGGTGCCGCGACAGATATGGTCAGACGCTGCAGCGGATTATTAGTTGTCAATGGTGGCACACTAACTTGCCAATGGTGGCACTATAATTTGCCAATAGAGTACTGTGACTTGTTAATGTAGGCACTGTCTTTTATCAATTGAACATAAATCTGAGTAACACCTTCTTCTTAATAATTATATTTTAATGCAAATATCACTTAACATTATAAATAAATGACACCTTCAGTTATAAAAATTTTGAACATTAATTATTAATATTCACACATTCATTTGTTATAAAATGTTATATCACTTGTTATTAACTTCTGTTATATTACTTGTTATTTTGGATAACTTAGGTTGTTAATTTCTACGTCGGATGCTGTTGAGCTATACACAACTAAGAATTTCAAAAGAAATGAGTCACTTTCTTTTCTAGCAATTGATGATATAATTTCCTTCAATTCTTCATAACTTGTTCCCTCCTTTATATTGTTGTTCTTACACTACCTCCCACATATCTCATATCATCTTCTCTATCACTTATAAACTTTATCTCTATGTGAACAAAGCAAAATAGATGCTTTTCAGATGTATTCGTCATCAGTAATTTAAACCTGCATCAAGAATCATGCAACTGCTATTGACAAGTTAAGGAGCTACGTTGACAACTGTCGTGGCACACATTGACAACTATCACGGCCTGATTGACAACACAATATCCCATTTCGTGCTAAGAGTTTATACCCACACTAACATTCATCTTTTTCTTCCTTTGCTACTAAACTAACGTCAGCGCAGAGCAAAACCATTAACAAGTGAATTTGTTGTTCATGACAAGTGATTTTATGACTTCATATCAGTGATAATTGACTTTTAATAACTATTCTATATCACATTATAAAAAATGGATTAGTTTTGAGGAATTAGTGATATTGTATGACATTGTATAACATTATGTAACGAAAATCATATTTTTTTAAATTTATATCAGTACATTAATTGACAACTGATGGTGCAGTGAGTGACAAGTGACGAAATATATATTGACAATAAAGGGTGCGGATAATGACAACTAATTATGTATCAGAATGTAATACACAGTTAACTTTCATTTACAACTTCATATACATGTAATTACATTGATTTTATAACCCCATTAAAAAAAACAAATAGTTGCATGTATCCAGTATTAAACTAATTATTTGTGTGTGCTGTGACATCTACCAAAAAAATTTATGTCACTTCTATTTATGAAAAAATTCTTTTGCCATCATTTGTCTAGGATCAAAGTGGCTTTTTTTTTTGTTTTGCCTCATGTAACTACTCACCCTTCTTTGTTGCCTCTTCTTCCTCTTTTTGTGACCTCTACCAATGAGTCAAGGGTACAGAAGGTCATGGCCTTTGTGTAAAAAATTTAAAAAATCAGTTAATGTAAATCTGTACAATGCTGTTATTATTGACAAGTCAAGGAGCTATATTGACAACTGTCGCGGCCCTATTGACAACATATTTTCCTATTTCGCAGTAAGGGTTTCTAATCACACCAACCTTCATCTTTCTCATCAGTTCCCCCTAAACTATGCCCAGACAGAGCAAACCCACCTTCAATCCACCCACAATATACCCAGAAATAGAACACCCATAATCACCCTACCCACCTATAATAAAACCCCAACTTGAATGACCAAACACACACCAAACCAAAAACACAAGCGATTTTTGCCAATGATTGACATTAATAGAGTGGATGAGATTTTCATATGGGAATGGGGGAAGAAGCAGAATGAAGTTTGGGTTTTTTCTCTCTTGTTTCCTGCGTACAGAGTGTTCATTTTCAGACTGAAAAACAGGGCATTTCACCAGGGGCAGAGGCGTCATTTTGCAATTCATCAAATTGCACTGAAGTCCCTTTGGGACTTCAGAATCATTACCAAATTTCCTGGGACCTTTTTATAGTATTTTGTGTTGCATGGGACCTCAATGTCATTTTCCCTATATTATTTCCTACTGAACATAAATTCGTCCTAAACATGTAATGGAAACAAGAGATTCAGGTAGTTGTGATGAAGATAAAAAGAAAAAGGTGGTTGTAAATTTTATTAGTCAAATTATGTTGAACTTACTTGACAATAAGACACATGCTGAGATTAAAAGACTAAATTAATTAGGACAGTAAAAGATAAAAGCTGGTTTAACTCGAGACCCTTGTGTCTGTACGTTATTTGTACCTGTTCGTGGAACGAGTTTTTGGGCAGAGAGTATTTCCCAAACACGAGTCTATATCCTCATTTGCAGCCATGATAGATAGATAGATAGAGAGAGAGAGAGAGTTCCTAGGATATCATGCGATATATATATATATATATAATGTCAACTTGTATTATGTATATCATAAAGAACAGCGGAGATGTCATAATAGAGAAAATACTCTGCTTTACTATGAGGTGTTGTAGGTATAAATAATCTCACAAGGTAGAATCTGCATATAGGATAAAAATAAACCGAAAATCACATATATAGCGATTTCTCTAAATCAGATGTAGGAATATGCAAGAAAAGGAAAGCATAAATCATTTGCAGGAGGTGAACTTGCAGGTAACATTTCCAGCACCAGAATTGGCCCTCATGAAGCGTAGAGCAGTGAGGAGGACAGTCCTAGTTGAACCCATCAAGGCCCAATTCATGTGCTGCACCACACTAAGTGGATGGTAAGAGAACTGAAGGCTGTTGTAGGAATTCAAAAGTGCAGTGACTCCTTCTCTAAGCAAAGTCCTGTAAGGGTCTCCTCTCCCATGCAGACCATTCCACAGTGTCATATCATTCCCATATCTCCTGGCTGCAGCCATTCCAAAAACTACTGCTACTTTTGTTTCTGGGTTCACCCCCCTCCAATAGCATTTGTATTCTGGCGTTGTCCACTTCCTGACAAATTATCAACATCCACACAAAGTAATTACTCCATTGTTGCAGTGCAAGGAAGTAGAAAACTTAAATTCAACCTTCCTTCATAATTATACTGGTGTGATCCATTGGTTTAACCCACTAAGGAGGTATTTGGTGCATTTTAATACGACTATTGAATACAATTGGTATTTTTTCAGATATTAACAAATGTAAAATCAACATAAATTTTGGTTGGTTTAAGATAGCTTGAAAAATACCATCTGATTAACTCAAACGGCACTACACATCTTGGCTCGACATCAATATATCAAATACAGACATCAATCTGACATAACAAGCTTCACTAAATGATCTTTTTGTTAAAGCCGATAATCTTACCGGTAAGGACACGCTGAAGCTTCTGCAAAGATAAGCGGTGGCGGAGGTGGCAATGGAGGCAAAGGTGGCAAGGGGGGAAGTCCAGCAACTGGAGGAAGCTGGAAAGGCGGAGGAGACTTGTGCTGTGTTGGCGGTGCGGGCACAGGATTTGAAGATGATGCGCATTGTTGCATTGGCTTGGCAGGCTGAGCTAGCAGAGGATCCACTGTGTACATTTCCATGTCAAACATCCTAAACATAAGTCTAAGGTTCTGGGGTGGACCAGAAGCTTCACCACAACCCATTGATCCCTCACCACTGCCTGACACACGAGCAGAACAACCATTCAAGTCCGGTGTTCCATCAAGCCTCATCGTATAGCTTCCAAACCAATTTGTTGTCTCTTCTCTTGACATAGTGACTTGCCCATTGCTATCAGCACAGGTCATGGTCACTTTAGCACCTGTGAGAAGGAAGAGTGGGGGAAAAAAAAAACCATCACTGCGGTTCAAACTTTGAAACATGGATCTCTAAGTACAGCGCTCAGTGGCGGAGAAACAGCATTGAATATCTTAATGACTGATTAAAACTCGTTCCCTCCTCAAATTTCAACGAGCTATGCAATTTTAGGGGATAATCCAAGAAGATCATGAAAATTAGTTGCTCTATGCATTGTTAATAATATTATTGGTATATGACCCGGAGTGCTCGATCTTTGACCGCAACTAGATTTTCTACCAGGTAATCTTAAAGGCGCGTTCATCCAAGATTTTTATCGAGTTGCAAAGCAAGGTAAAATTAGTATCAAATCCTTTTGCTCACAATATTTTGACTTAGAATGTATTGTATGATAGGGAAAGAGTACTTTAAACAAGCGGAAGAAAGACACAGTGATTTAAAACAGTAACAAAGTGAATGAAGGACAATGGATCTTACCATTAACGGGAAAATCGAAAAGCGATCTTTGGCCATCCTTGCATTGGTCACAGAACACAGTTCCGGTTACCATAGCATCTGCCTGAGTTCCATGGATCACAGCGAAAATGAGCAATGCTACGAAAAGAAGCTTCTTCCGAAAGTCCATGAATCTTGGACGCTGTCAAGGACACCACTGAGGCCAAAACAAAACCACGAAGGCACGGGTTGGTATGTCCAGAGTGGGATGAATACTTAAATGCAAGTGAGAATCAGTAAATGAGAAGCGAGTGGTGCACACATCCAACGTTCAACTGCCAGAGTTAATGAGGTATGTTGAAAATAAGTTTTTGGGGAAGGAATAAGCGTACGGTTTTCATTAATAAGTGATAACAAAGAAAAACCGTGTTGAAGATAGAACATGCCTTAAATAACATCCGTAAGTATCCATGTCTCATAAACCATTGCTGTATAACATAATGAAGCATTTTAACCCTCCTCATTGAATTAATGTGGGCATTTGTCATTAGTTGTATTTTTGAGCTTTTAATATCAGAGATCACAAATGAATCAGTGAAATCATTGTGTCTTCTACAAAAATAAACCAATGGATTAAGCTACAAACTTAGCATTTTTTCACAGTTCACGGGCAGGTTTGGTGAATGTCAAAGAAGCAGGAAACGTAGGGCAACAGAAATGGCAGCTCATAAATGAGTCTGATTAGCGTCTTTAAAGGCTCTAAATGTCTCATGGGGTGTCTACAAGTAGAAATTTAATAAGAGCGAATCACGAGACATGGAATTTTTTGTCCGGGTAATAGGCATCAAAGGCCATGAATGCAAGAGCAAAACAGTAATGAATGATTATGAAATATGAGGGCTGAATTAATAGGTAGAAAGAGTGTCGCAATCAAAATTAAAAATTTATGGGATTAATGAAAGTAACTGTTGAGATTTGATCTCAGGGGGAGACGTGGGGTAGTTTAATAGCCGCTACGTTTTGAGCTGATATAGCCACGGCGATGACGGGTATTAGTTGGCCGTCAAGGTAGAGATGAACATTAACGAAGAGAACTCCCATGGATGAAGGGAAGGAATAGGGTTCAAGTGTGAACCCAACATCACAGGAGGAATCCCATTTACTTCAAATTCATGCACTCTCTCTCTCTCTCTCTGTGTCAGTGCCTTTTCAACCTCACAGTCTCACAGCTCTCACGCCACATGCCAGTGCACTCTCTTTGCTTTTGCAGCCTCTCTTCGTTAAGAGTAAAGGATTAAAAACCTGATTAGAGGACAAAATTAACTAATTTATTATTTTCAAGGGACCGTAGTTCATATTCTTAAATTTATATAAAAGATGTGATTTTTCAATTTTGCCCTTCACTAAAAGTAATTACTACAATAAAATACTCTCAAGAATTTAAAACATACCAATAACTTGTTGCCATTAAGGACGGTAAAATTAGGGGGGGAAAATTAATTAACCGATTTTGCCCGATATTTAGGACCTAGCAAGGCTAGGAAGTAAAACTTCTTCCTATAATTAAGACCAGTGGAGGTAAAGTTTTGCTCGGCCATGATTATTTTGTAAACATAAATTTGCTGAATTTATTTATTTACATAATTTAACAAAATAACCTCAAATCTTTGTGCATAATTAACGTTAGGGGCAATATTTCTAATAGAGATTAACCTCTCTTAAGGTGCAAAGGCTCAAAATGAACTTCTCCTCATGATAACAACCACCCAAAATCCCCTTTTTGGATTGAATTTAACAAAAAAAATCAGTCCCTCTCACACCATGACGAATTAAAACTTAAAACCGAGACATGTCGTTCCATCCAACAAGAGTACCTCCAATCTAGCAACTAAAAAAAAAAAAAAACGTTCTTTCTCTATATATGGAAATTGGCAACCTGGAGAAAGTTTGCCGATCAACTCGTACTTCATTATGGATCCATCACATAATTTTACAAAAGCTGCTACAGTAAACAAAGTGGAGTACACCAGCGTCCACAATATTTATCAGATCGAACTCCATGGCCAAACGATTTAAGAATGACCAACGATATTAGAAGCTGACAGTTACTGATTTTAGCCAGTGGCAAAAACAAGACTGAGCAACCAACCCACACAAGTTCTTTATTTGCTTTAGAAACGTGCACGTTGAGCCAGCCTTAACCGTGCTTATTCACAAGTAACCGACGACAACAAAGGCAACAGTACAACACATGACAGATCATCATCCTCAATATCATTAAGATATAAATAATACAACACCAGAAATTCGCGTCATTCCACCGTATTGGATCAAATCAAAACAAAATACAAGAAATCAACAGCGGAGGGGAATCAGATCTGTCCTATGCACATACACATATTATTGAGTTGAAAATAAATACCAAAATCGTAAGTTCACAACCCAATCGATGTTTAATACAGATTTTCAAACGGCGAAAATTACCGCCACAATCGGCTATAAACAAAGATATAACAGCTAAGAGTATCTAGGCTACAAGTAGACCTACCAAAATTGTCTATAACCGTTTCAGTATAGTGTCTCAGAAATTCAGAATAGAAGCGTTTCGAAAAGTTATGACAAATTAAATAACACGGGGAAAAAAAAGAAGAAGCTCGGTCTTCAATTTCCAAATTTCTTCAAGTCTATTTCGCAGGGACAAAATTAATTCACAACCCTTCAGTTCTCTTCAACATGTCCATCCTCGGACTTCCCAGCGCTGCATCAGAAAGTAAACAAATTAACAGAATCAAAATAAGATCTGGAGAGACACCATACAATGGAAGTAACAACTATTAAATCGATTGGATGGTGATGGCCAGAAATCAATTATCGGAAACTATCCGAGGGACTCCAGGCCTAAGTACATGCTGGTGCTTCAGGGAAAAAATAGGCCACTTTCAACTTGAAATCCTGATTAGCGTATGAATTAAGAACATGACTTATGCATAATTGACCAAGACCATGTTCAACCCAGTGGAACCACGACAACGATTATGATTCATAGCTGGTCAGGTTCAAGTAATCAGATATAGTGAATAAGTGACTAAGCCTTAAAAAGTAGTCGTTGCTAAGTACTTGGACTAGACTTTTAACAATCGTCCCAACCGCAGAAAGTACAGGAATGCCAATGATGACTTCACATAAAATTTCTAGTACCCCTTAATGTAGGGTACCGGCTGGCAGTATGTCCAATTTACATATAGAGCGCATAAAACTTCGGACAGAAGGATCTAGCAGAAGGCTAAAACTGCAGCAAATTAGAACGAGCAAAAGCAACATTGCACAGCACAGGACAGGCACCCAATTAGAAGTCCTTGACTTTTAAGTTTTAACTCTCTTTTCTTCTTTTATTTTTTTTTTCGTTTAAAAAAAAAATGCTACCAACAAAGGGACTCCTCTCAACATCAAAAGAAGTCTACAGAATATAATTCTACCTGAAATCATCTCAACTTCTAATTAATGAAAAAAGTTTTTAAAAGAAGAAAAAAAAATGCATGTCTGAACCAACTAATAAGGCCAATCAAGAACAAATAACACAAGAAACTACCAAGTTTATTTTCGATTATCTTTACTGACAAACCTTGTGGGACGACTGTCATCAGATACTGCCTTCCTCCAACTCCTTTCAGCTCTTTCTTCTGGCAAATTGGCATGTGCATTGCCAGACCCAAAGCCCCTCCTACCAAGTCCTTCCTTCTTATCGACCGTCTCCTTAATCTTCATTGCGTCCAGCTGCTCGTCGATCTTCTTCCAATCCTGCCCTTTCTCGGCCAAAACCTCCTCCCTTGGCCTTGCGTCTCCGAATGGGTTTGGACCCTTGGGCTTTGCTACATTCCCAGAACCTTCTTGGCTTTCACTACTCAGAGGCAGTGATCGAGGCTGTAGATTAAGTCTCGGTCTTCCACTCGGTGTCTCAATTCTGTCAATGCCACCTCCAACGTTAAATTCCCCTTTCTTCCTGTTCCAATTATCCGAATCTGCACCACCGCTCGAACCAAATCCAACCTTCCTCTCTCTCTCAAACCCACCACCATTCGAACCGAATCCAACCTTCCTCTCTCTCTCAAACCCACCACCATTCGAACCAAATCTACGCCCCTCCGATGGCACGTAATTCTTATTAGATACCCAACTGTCCGATTCATCAGCTCTCGATTGTGAATCAGAAAAGCCTCCTCTATCCCTGTCCCTCCTCTCAAAACCATTCCCAACGGTCGATTTCTTCGCAGCAGCCCAATTATCTATTTCGTCAGCTCGCGAAGGCGTCATTTCACGATTTGAATCCCGGCCGAAGGAACCATTCCTCCTGGGCTCATCAGAAACCCTAGATGAACCCCATCGAGAATTGGAAGACTCGTCCCCGCCAGAATTCCTATTGGGGCGGTCATAGGAACCATAAGACCTAAACCACCACCAAGTCGACCCCGGTCACGCTCAAGTTCCTCGGCAGTTCGCTGGCGAGGACCGGTTGGCAGCATCATGAGATCTTCATGCGTCAAGGAATCAGAATGGGAGGGTTTAGGGCCCCCGTAAGTAGTGAAATCGGCCAAGGGGATCGCCTGGGCCTTCTTCTTCTTTGGCTTGGTGGCAGCGGCGACAGCAAGAGAAGGAAATTGGGAAGTGTCATCCTTGTCTTTCTTTTGAAGGAGCTCGGCTTCTTGCTCTTCAGAATCAAGCGCCCATGCTCCCGGTTTAGCCCAGGCAGATACAGAAGCCGCCATTGCTATGCTTTGGTTCTCTCTCTCCGTGAATCCTTCGTTCTCTTTTTCTCAGTCGAGGTTGCGTTTGTTGGCAGCGAAAACAGGCGCGCGCGATGAATAAATATATCTGTGGGTTATGCCTTCGGGTCGGACGGTCGAAGGTCTTATCGCTCGATTCTGCCTGACCGATCTCTTTCAACGGTTATGATTTCGTTTTCTTTCTTCTTTTGAAAAATAAAAAAATAAATGATGCCTGATTTGCAACAGCCATGTAAATCTCTCGGGTTAAATTTCCTGCGGCCATGGGCACTTCAACTTTTATTATTTTCCTGCGGGTAAAGTAAACTACTTAATTTAAAAAGACGCATATTTATATATTTTTGTTATATATCGATATTTTTTTAATTTCAGTTGATGTTAAAAATCTCATACATCTTATAAAAACTAAAATATATTTCTCTCCATCAATTTTATAAGGAAAATAGCATTGCTTTGACTTTGATAATTTGATATTAAGTTGTGTAAACTGTAAAGCATGAATTTATGATACAAATTATACAATTATTATTATTGAAAAAACTGGTTGTTTAACATTTTATGCTACATTTAATTTGGCTCAGACCATATCACCATCAGTATGGGATCTATTGTCTATAGAATTATATCAATATTAGTTCATGGAATAAGGCTAACATGAGGAAAGTGTAGATTTTATCTAAAAACTGTTGATACGATACATTTAAATTTCTTTCTGGCCAACAATACGGTACATTCATCTATAGCATTGTTTTTTTTTTTTAACTAAATACATTCATTTATAGTTCGATTCCGCCTAGATTTAAATATTTTATTGAGGAAGCTATATATAACGAAAGAGAATAATATTACCGCCTGCTGAGCAGCACCGTATTCCCACTTGCTTAATACTACCTCCGGTCCTTAATATAAAAGCTAATTTGATTTTTATTTTGATCCTAAATATAAAACCCAATCTATTTTGTCTCATTTTTATCCATTTTTTTCAATGTAATCCTTGTAATAATTATAGTTCTAACTAATATACTTAATTAATAAGAATAATTTAGAAAATACAACACATATTTATTATAAATAACTAACTTAACTAGTTTTTAAATCTACTCAAATTAGTCAATTAGGTCTTATATTAAGGATCGGAAGTAGTATAATATTCTGAAAAATTCGTAATTGTTTGCTTTGGATTCATGGCATGGTAAAAATGCTCACAAGAATACACATCAAACTCAGCAACAAAGTGACCTTGCTTAAAAGCAGAAACTTAAAGAGTTACCAGGCACAGCTAGTAAATCTCAGAGATGGCCGGCAAAACCAAAAAAAAAAAAAACTAATGAATCTAAGAACCAGCCATGTTTAAAGATAAAGTGACATGCGAAACTAAGCTAAAACCGTCATTACTTAAGTAGTTGGTGCTAACAGTTGTATCAACTGGCGTCATCATTTCCAATTACTAATCTTCATCTGTGCCTGTTTCCCAACACAGTAATTTCATCTGAAAAACACTAAAGATTTTCCAGAGAGTCTAGTATATGTTTCAAAATTTTTAAACAAACAAAAATAAATGCTTCTCATAACTGAAGAAGAATCAATAGAATCTGATAGTTGAATGACAAATGTAAATTTTGTACATAAAACAATGCCTAGTGTTACTAGCCGATGGGTAAGCAAGTCACAAGGATTTTAACACAGTGAAATCACCCCCTAACATCTGAAAGTGTCGCAATGTGATAATGATCACCGTTGCAGTTTCAATTGGATCCTGCGCTTGAATCTAGGGTGGTTCATCACCCATCCCAGGAGGGGTTCCCTTGCATAACCTGCATGCCTGTGCAGCAGCAAGCTGAGAAACGGCCAGAAAACTACAGGATTCCAAAATGCACAGATCTACATCCCACAATCGGTGACAAGCCAAGCACTCCAAACAGCAAAATTGGTTGGCATCAAGCTGTTGCATGATTGCTGCCAAAACATCACCACCCTCAGGACAAATCAATGTTCAACATATTCTGAACCATGTATAAGGATCAGGTGTTCATCCTCCAGGCCCTTCATCGAATCCTCACCAATGTACCACGTCAAGGTCCCTGCATTATAAAAGGAAGATTTTATTGCAGGATCAGGTTTAGAAACTATGGTGAAAAAATTCAAGGCTGTATAATGTATATCAGCAAATGAATGGATAACGGAAATCAGTCTGTTCCTAAGGTGCTGTTAAAACTATACCTTGCATGTTAGATTGCTCCTGATCTCTTGTCGCATGCAAAATTATTGTTCCCGAAAGAACGGTGATGAAACCACATACCTCAGATGCTACGCTGTTGGCATTCTGACCTGACCAATCCTACAACAAAAGTAGAAGAAAGCATAAAGTCAACATAATTTGCCAAAAGGAAAACTTTAGCATATAACTAACTGGATCCAAGAATATGAATCTGAGATTGTACCTTAAACATTATTGCACTAGCAATAATAGTCAGAGTTGTGAACATGACATAATATACAGGAGAAACAACTGCCGCGTTGAATGTATCTAGCGCCTAAAACATCATTGAATGGTGCCAGTTATGAAGTTCTAGAGAGTTATAGATAGGCCATTGATGGCTGACGGTTAAAGTCATAATAGTGAGAATTCCAACATGCAGTTCATCACAGAGAACACTACTTAGTTGTGCTCATCAGTTCACAAGCCAGCAAATGACGGAACAATAATAGGTAAGAAAAAGATACCAAGACTAAACAGGTAATTCCTCTAGCAAAGTTCCCAACACTAAACATACGAAAACAGCATAAAGTACTATCAGTGTTTACATTGCTACAGGGCAAGCTTTGCATATTCCCAGTAAATGAGCATGACTATTTTGTTTAATTTTAATGCACTTCTGTGTCTGTTCAGTTAACTTGCTTTTGGACTTGTGGGTTTTTGGCAAGGTCTTTGTAGCAGTTCGGTCCTACAATATGAGGAGATACGTGACCATAAAGCAATCATGCCTTACAGGGCCTAGTTCATAAAAGTTACCATCAAAATATTGATCATTTACAATTCTGGTTATAAATTACATCAGGCTTTCATATCTTTGCACACACCTTGTTCAGGTAATTCAACTGGGTAATGACACATATTGTTGCCACAGTGAGAAAAAACCAAGTCTGCGGAAAAGTTATTTGATTAACTCCCTCAAGCGTAAGCTTTATTGCAATTCCAATGGCCTTTATGCTCACAACCTGAATAATTACACGAATTTAACATTGAGCCAAAATATAGGTAGTTAGATCATGCATGGCGACATTAATACTAAAGTTCCATCCAGATGCTTGGCAAGAACATAATTACTGACCGTAAGTGAGCCCATCAGAGAACAAATTCCCAAGTAAACCAGCATATTAGTCTGTCCATAATGAGGTTCGAAGTGCAAAATCAAAGCTAAAACTACTGAAATTGTTGCCACAACATAAACTAGAAATGCTGTCCAAAGAAAAAAGAGCGTCAGTTAGCAGATAGGAAAACTCATTTGTGCCAGGAAGAAAAATGATCAAACTAGACCTGGTTGAGTGGCCAGATCCCATATTTCTTGCACTGAATTTGGAGTTTGTTCTTGAGGTGCATGAATAACAATAACCACTGATCCTACAATACAGGATATACATCCCAATATCCCCATCTTCTGAAGCTTTTCCTTTAATAAGAAGTGAGCCAAAACAGCACTTGCAATATATACTGAACGTTAGTTCCAATACAAAATCATAGCCGTGGAGTATTCAATAGACTAAGCACTAGAATATTTACCTGACAATGATGCTCAGAGCTCCGAGGGGGGTAACCAGAACTGCTGGAGCATAGATATAAGCCACAAAATTCGCAACCTCCCCAATAATCACTGTAAACCAAGTATTTTCAAGATTCATTTGCATTTGTTACATCATTCAAGCATACTAAAAGCAAAGAGGGGATCAACACCCTAAACTTACTTGTCACCATGCCAGCCCACCATAGTGGCTCTAGTAAGTAAGTATAGCCACCACCTCCTGCAAATTTCAAAACAAAATTTAATGACAAGCTCTAATAGCCACAAGTAATAGCAGCAAAGCATGAAACATAAGGGATCAATGAAGTTGAAAAAAGTTGTATATCACCAACACAAAATACTAACAGACTTATTGACACTGCTGTTTTCATGTTAAAAGCATTATTGCATGACAACCTGACCAGCCTGTTAAACAGGTTAGAATCTGTTATTAAATACAAAACCGGCAATAATTCATCATTCATTTAGAATAAGATCCAGGAATATATTCTGGCCAAACAGATTCTAGGGGAATTCTGCATCAAACCCTACTTTACCACTCAAGATTTCAGCCAACAAGGGTATGCAATTTTTCACTCTTATTTCGGTTCCTCAAAATTCAAAAACATCAAATTTAGATTGATGAGTGTCGCAACCAGAGGTTTAAACTGCAGAGTTGATGGGACTGAAAAAAAAAAAAACCAGGTATGAAGGCAGCTCCTCAAGCCCAATTATACCAAACGCCAATGTTCCCATAGATCCAAAATAACCCTGGTTTGACAATGAAGAGCTTCTAGAATAGCAGGAGGGAAGAAGAGGAGCTCATTCTCACTGAAATGAAAATTTACAACATAAAAACATAAGTTCTCCTATCACCAGGCAATTTATTCAAACACGAGATTGCTTAGCAGGTAACTTCATGATTCACCGAGCAATGATCAAGAAACAGCAAATAACCAATACCATGATGCCTCTGATTATTTGGAAGATATCAAAAATAGGTAAATAAACAAGAAATTCCATGAGGCTGACCTGCGCGAGTACCGTGGACACCGGCACGCTTAAGACCCTTCTTCTTCAAGATAAAGCTTGCCCCTATGAATACACTAGATGCAACAGCCAGTATCAAACCCTTCGAATTTTGGGAAACTCCCATCTCTATCTCACGGTCAATGTCAACTTCAATTGAATTGTGGAAGACGACGACAAGGACGTCGTCGTGCTCAGTTTTCCCGCCAAGAAGGGATCGATCGACTTCCCTCCAGGGAAATTAAATCAAAGAACAAAGAGGATCGTCCAGGTGTCCTGTGTGGAAGCCCTCGAGTCACGGGAACTGGACCGCAGTTGACTGCTGGTGATATAGAGATTATTAAGCAGCAGATAGACGTGCTCGTAAATTTAAACCCCTTGAGACGTATCTCTGATTTTTAAGCCGTCGTCGTCGTCTAGTCGGAAGTTTCCTGTTAATCGCGGCAGTAATCCTCCGCTTCGCAATACGTCCAGCTTAGCTCCACTCCCGTCCTGATCAATACTCCCATACACAAACACTATTCGTATTGAAATTGAACCGTGGCACGTTCCTCCTGGCCAGCCTGGAATTCATCAAATCTTTGCCGTGGCGGCGTGATCTCCAATGACGCAAATACCCCTTGAATTACTAATTACGGTTATTACTTGCAAGGTATTTAAATTCAAGAACACTCAATTCTGCATGTAAAATTTGGCCAAAAAAAATCTGCATTTAAGAAAAACGCTTATTCTAATGAAGTAGCAACCCGTTAAATGTATTTGCCCAAATATATTGTAATAATGAATAACTTTATTAGCATATGTTGGCCAAAAAAAAAATATTAGCATATACTCCTCCGGTCCTTAATATAAAACTCATTTAACTAATTTGATTAAATTAAGAAAGTTAGGTAAATTAGTTAATTATAAGAAAAGTGACACATTTTTCCTAAAACACCATAATCATCTTTCTTAATACCCCCTCCCCCTCTTCTACTTGATTATGGTTGGAGGAGTATCCATAGAGGTAATTTAGAGAAAATTAAAAAATATGAGAAATGGGTTTTATATTTAGGACCAAAACCAACTCAAGAATTGGATCCTTAATCGGAGGAGTATTATTTATGCTTGGATTGCATGGATAAAACATAAATTATCTGATAAGCATAGATTTCATGGTCTGATTATTGATGATGGCATGGATAAACATATTTTTCTTTATTATCTTCGAATATAGTTTCCTTGTTTGAAGATTTTGTAACAATCACTCAACTTTTAAAGATTAATTTTAATTCACATAAGTATTTGATTTTCTATAATAAATTTTTTGGGAAAAAAATAAACATTCCCTGTTAAAAGGTATGCATTCCAACCGTAAATTGATTTCCCCTGATAAATATAACAATCGAAGTAAGCTTCCCTACCTTGAGTCCAAAAAAAAAAAAGTAAGCTTCCCTACGCCGTCTCCTCTCTCAATTAGAATGGATCTAAATCATGCGAATGAATCCAATATTTGTTATATTTATAATTTATAAATAAATAATTTTTATAGATAACAATTCATAAACAAATACCCCATCCGTTTTTTCATAACATCTTATTAACTAAATTACGTGATTTAAAAAAATAGTTAAAATTAATTAAAAGTAATAAATATGTAAAAAAAAGAAATCTCTGTTTTTAAGTATGTTCATATTTAATGAAAGAAAAAAAATAAGAGAGAGAAATAGCAGTAATGAGAAAAATGACAACAAAGAATGAGAATTAATTAGGCACAAAATTAGTAAAAATGTATTTATTGTTCAAATAATACTTGGTAGGATCTTATAAAAAGGACCAGATCAATTCAAATTTGAGAATCTCATAAATAGAACCAGAAAGAATAATACGATTTCCTGAAACAGTATTAGGTTATTTATCTTAATAGATATTTGAACATCAATTTGTCACGTTATATGAGAAACTTGATCCCTCCATTAAACTTGATTTCTGTTTTTTTTTATTAAGTACAGATATGTTCTTGTTAGAAACAATTATATTCAAAACACTATCTATGACATCTCTCCAAGGAGAATTCAAGCTTTGGTTTAATTATTTGCATTTTGGATTAAAAAACGTCAGACAGAAAGAGTAAGCCCACAGAGAAATCAGGTGAAGGGTCTCACACAATGCTTTTGAAGTACCAGCAACAGCAACAGAAAAAGCCAACCGCAACTAATAAGTGTTGATTCAAATAGAAGAGACTTAAGCACCTTAAACATTATGTCATAAGTTTGATTTTTAGAGTAGTGTGTATGAAAAAAAAAAAACACTATTAGGAAAGGTTCCTGTTACAACGTCTGACAGTATCATGAGAAATTAATTTCTTACTGCTTGAGTAGGAAGATATTTTAGGCAACAAAAAAAAAGCCAACCGCAGGTTATTAAGGTTAAGGGGCACTCTCAAAAAAAATTTTAAAAATAAACTTTTTTATATATAAAAAAAAAATTATCCACCAGCAGTGGGCTTATGAACATGATTGGTCGTTTGAGCGGGACGAAACGATATCTCGAACAACCCTCATTCAAAAGTTTAAAATAGGACAAGGGGTCCAGCTAGGGGCCTCTCAGCAACAGCATCATCAGCAGCACCCTCTTTTCTCGAGACCAAAAACATGTTCACTTTTCCCTCCACTCATCGTTATTCTCCCTTTTTTGACCAAGCATCGTTATTCTCCCTTATTATATGGAGTATGGACCCTATAAATATTTTATTACCCCCATCTCACATGCCTCTTGCACCCATAAACGTCAACATACTTCCAACACAGTATTTTACTACCCAACCTTCCTTCCGCTTCCTTTTTTTTCCCCAACCTTCCTTCCGTTTCCTGCCAATACGAAAATCCACCTTTATTCCCAAACCCACTACCACAAAAATTCATACTTACCATCCTCCTCTTAGAATATATCCCACCCACCATTTCGCTCACTGTCATTTTTATTTCGAAACAGTACAATTAAATTGGAGATCAAACACATAATTTTTTGGCAATATTCCAACTTTATTCGTGGTGGCTCAGTATTATCATCACAAGACTCCACTCAGTGTACCACGTACTGATGTGGAGATTTTAGAAGAAAATTACATATTATCAGCGGTGAGAGAACCATGGCTTAAACAACAACTAAAACCCGGAGTTTTAAAAAGCGGAAAACGACGCCGCATAGAAGAACACACGATCGTCAGTCGCACGCTTCTCTAAGAGAGTTGACCGCACTCGGCAATCACCACTGGCTTTGAGGTCTTCCCAGACCTTGACCCCACCTTCTCGATCTCCCTCACCACGTCCATGCCTTCCACCACCTGACCGAACACCACGTGCTTGCCGTCCAGCCACGACGTTTGGGCCGTGCAGATGAAGAACTGCGACCCGTTGGTTCCGGGTCCGGCATTGGCCATGGACAGGACTCCGGGGCCCGTGTGCTTCTTCACGAAGTTCTCGTCCTCGAACTTGGCGCCGTAAATCGACTCGCCGCCGGTGCCGTTCCCGGCCGTGAAGTCGCCGCCCTGGCACATGAAGTCCGGGATCACACGGTGCAAGACGGAGCCCTTGTAGTGAAGGGGCTTGCCGCTGCGGCCCACACCCTTCTCGCCGGTGCAGAGGGCACGGAAGTTCTCGGCCGTCTTTGGGGTGGTATCCGCGAAGAGCTCCATGACTACGCGACCGGCGGGCTGATCACCGATGGTTATGTCGAAGAAGACCTTAGGGTTTGCCATTTTCTCTTGCTGGGAACTAATTTCAAAGGGTTTTCACTCCAAAAAAGACTGCATAAAAACAGTAGCGAGAACGAGTATATATAGGACTCTGCGGGTGATGTCTAGGGAACTGACCGTTGGATGGAACACGTGGCAGAATTATAACCGATATGTAGTGACCCTAGTGAAGTTCGGAATTGACCAGGGTTAGTAGGGGCATCCAAGCGGAAGGATATGCTCTTGCCACTTCTCTCAAGATGCGGACTTTGACGAAGCAGAACGGACGACGCTGCACCAATGGCCCTTTTTTCCCCATCACAACCAAAAGAAACAAGAAACAACTACGACACACTAGGAGGGAGATATGGGGACTATTTAGTTGGTAAGGGTCGTCATGGTTCGACGGAGACGGTGATGGAGATGGTACCAACCGTGCCTAACTATTAATGGATACTTGGGGAATGTTCTTAGACGGCAAACAATTTATCTGCGAACTAGGATTTGTTTAACTCTCCATCTCAAACCTTAGCTTGCGAGAAACAACCACAACAAATCCGTAACATAGACAAAAATGTCTGCACATCGATCGAATGGTGGTGCATGGGTGGGGGACTAATGGCCCTTATCCCAGTCCCCACTGATATGAAAATAGAAGGCCGCTTTACTGTCGAGTTCAATTCCATGGTCTCGTCTTTGTTTCTCTAATTTAAAATAAAAACGACTCTCCTTTTCAGTTGATAAGTATCCTGATATTCATACTCACGATGAAATTCATATCATTTGGATACAATTTTAGTGGCCTGAACTTAAAATTCTCAACTAATAATTTTTACATAAAAAATTATTTTTTTAAAAAACTCAGTTTAAAAGATTATATTTATTTTGGATTATCTACTTTTTAAAGAAGAGTATTTTTTAAAAAACAAAAATAAAAAAATAATTAAATCTCGTTGAAATTTGATTATGCTCACCGAAGCTTATTCAGTTTAGTTCTCGTGGGGTATTTTTGAAATAAATAAGATAATTTTCCCCTTTTGGGGCGCAAAAGAAATAACAGATATTTACTCGCGCGCGTGTGTCGTGCAAAATGTGATAAATGCTCCCCGACCCTTGATCGAATGCGGGTGGTGATTTTAATAATGCACAGAACCGTCTAGATAAGAGTGGACGTACGGTGTAGATTTATCGCAAACGGTAACTTTTGTCAGGTCTCTTAAGAGGTTGGGGGATCTGATCCTTGGACAAGGGAGAAAAAACCAAGTGGTGTGGGGATTCATCCAATATCCTGCTTCCCCCGAACACATAATCAAGGGAAAAAATTTATGCACTCTATCATATAACAATAAATTTTCCGTCTATTGTGCCCGCTGTTTAATATCTTTAATATTATTTTAAATTTTAACTATTCCTATTTAATGCTTTCAATCTCACAAAGTTATTATTAGAAATAAGTGATAATTATATCTTAAAATTTGAAACTGAAACAGAGACCAAATAAAAATTCAAGTCCAATGAATATTTAGGAACAGGGGAAATACAGATTTGAGTGACCAAAAACCAAAAGGAGATGGCATACATTTCTGTTATCATTCAATTATTTTTATTTATTTTTAAAATTCAAATGTACTGTTATATGCTCCTCCTGTCCGTAAGATATAATTAATTAATTTGACTAAATTAAAAATATTAGTTAAACTGGTTAATATAATATGTTTTTTTCTAAAATAACTTAAGCATATTCTTAATTCCCTTCCTTCTTTTATTACTTAGTTATTATTAGAGGGAATAT